TGCCCTTGAAGCCGCACTATAAAATCCAGCACACTCTTCCGCCGATCGAGGTGGAAGTCAACGATGCCTAATAAACAAGCAAAAAATGAAAAAGGTTGTGGAGCGAATTCCAAAAATCTGAGAAGCAATCTCCTCGCTCCCAGTGATTCTTGGTAATCTATCGCAAAATGTTGATACCTCTTGTACTGTATCTCTCAGCGGCTACCAACGAAGTCTTCAATTTAACCTGAATTCAAAGGCAACCCTCTTTGAAGCCTCTCTGCAGGATTTTTCCCAGTACATCCTGAGTTCAAGAACCATACACACACGAAGGAGCACTTCTACCCTCAATGCCTTTGGTCCATCTCCCAGAACCCCAACATCTTGATTCGTTCACAACTTGGCTTTGGGTCCACTTTAAACTTTAAACAATGTCACCTGGGGTGCACTGATAGTCCTTCTCTCATCCACAGCCATGCCATGCCCCGAGGCCGCGCCTTGCATCTTCGCGACATGCTGTTCCATCCGCTCAAGAGTGGCTTGCTGTCGTCGCACCACGGCGAACCAGGGCTGCCGCTCACTCAGGTCCTCCCGGCCTGGACGACGACCTCCTCCGGAGACAACGGTCTCTTCTCTGCAGTGTTAGTAAATACCCCCTCCCTACAGGACTGGACGATACAGGTGACAGCTTTCGATCTTCGCCTTCACTTCTAGAAACCAGGCAAAATAAACCATACTTCTCGTCCCATTGGAATTCACTTTTAGTTCTCCATCTCCTGGGCCACCTCCGAGAACCTCTGCGAGTTGCTCTTTTTCGGAGGCAAACGGCAGCCGTTCATCACTGTAGATGGCATTTTCAACGTGTCGCAGGATTCCAGCCGCAACTTTTCGGACCGGAGCAGGTAGAGTGTCTACCACGTCCTGGAGAGCAGTGCCATTTCTCGACTTTCGTCAGCAAAACTCCCGACTGAAACATACTGTAGAAGAAACAAAACAACTTCCTCGTTAATCGCACTTGGACAAATCTGAGAACACCAAAAAAAAAAGATCAAAACAATGCGCGTTAGCTTGTTGGATGTCTTTATTTACAGTAATTCTCAAACCTCTCGAACGGTTCAGAGTGTAGTACGACCAATTTCTTTGGAACTTCCGCAAGAGCTAGACTCTAGACCGCTGTTTGTCCCCTCAAGTTCGATTGCTCTTGTCTGTTTTGGATTTTTTGCATCGCACAAGCCGAAGCTGAGTGCAGAAGGTTAGCAATCTGCTTTGCAGAACGAGTTGAAACTTACGAGCTTGCAGCACCATTGTAATCCATATGGATCATCGGGAGGGGGGACGAACAAATTTAAAAAACCGGAGAGGAACATAAAAGAAGCAACAGGGTGAGGAAAACGCTAGTAGTAACAAGTGCATCCCTAGTAGTAACAGGTGCATCGCTACTAGTAACAAGAAGTAAATTAAACTAACTAAGGCCGGTCCGGGAATGTGCCCGCTTTCGGTGATGAAGCTTTCGGTGACAAGACTTTCGGTGATCAAGCTTTCGGTGACGAGGTGGTTGACACATGGTCAAGAAAAAAAGCCATGCCTTTGTTGGGCAGAGCTGTTGACTAGATTTAATTGATGATTGTTGTTGATGTCAAACTGATCAGGTGAAAATCATGGTGTAGGGCTCTACAGTATGAAAGAAGTTCTATTGTTTCTAGTCGTAAGGGGTATATACAGTAGATAGTTAGGGTCACGATCTTCCTACTTTTCCTACTTGTCTTACTTATTGTGCTTGACTTAGTCTTGGCTACCTCTTGTCTGGTGGTTTAAAAGAAAAAAGAAATCGCAAGTCAGCACCAAGGCACACGAAGCAAGTCTACCACCACGGCGGTCACTGCAGTGTCCGGCAACGTCACGCGCGCCGTGAGCCGCTCAATCTTCCGGAAGCGCGCCTGGAAGATCGTTTGGGAAAGAAAAGAAGAACTGAGAAAACACATCTTTCCCTTCCCTCGCAAGACCCAGACCTCTTGGGCAATCCTTATCCAGCTCTTGCGGCTGTGAGTGACTTGCCGGGCCGGCCTCGCATGCCAGCAGCTTGGATTCAAAGCCTTCTTGCTCCTGGCCATCAGGATGGAAAGGTACACCCTTGCCTAGACCTGCTTCATGTACGCGGATCAGACAGCTGCACTTTCAAGCATCAATCAACAATCATTTCATAAAAGAAAACAACTCAGCAGCTCAGTTATTGTTTGTGCGACGCATGCACAAAAGCAGGCTCTGTCAACCTTTGCTGCGGACAGTCCTTGGGAAGACCCGAATGCGTTTTGTGCCAATCCTGCATGCCGGAACTGATTCACATCAAGCCAAGTTTGGAAGAACCCTGATGATTCAACACTAGCGACCTTGTTGATGGTGGGATTCTTGGGCTAAAACTTGTGGTGGTTTTGATGTCACTGGAGTTCAGGCAAGAGTATGAGACTGGCTGCACAAAGGACGCTTGAAAATATCTGAAGTCAACCCATGGAATGGTCTTCTATCATGATTAGTACGGCAATCCCTAACTTGAATCCCAAGGACCCTTCAGATCACATCTCCCTTGATACTCGCATCAAAATGAGCTCTCCAAGAAGCAAAACTGCAAAGACCTTTGAAGCTGGAGTTGTTATCAAAGATCATTAAACTGAAAAGAGGAGTCTTTCTCTGAGAAGAAAAAAGACCAAAGATCTATAAATAGTCAGCATAACCCCTGCTGTTGACAGAGAACGGGTGCTGGCTAAATAACATCATTGTTTGCCCATCCCTCCATTTCTAGACTCGTGCACCGTCCTTTTGAGGCGAAAACCAGCTCGGAGCTGAGGGTGAAATGTGGTGAAGAAAATTCGTAGCTTCTTGTTCCTAATAGCTTCTTGCTCCTAGTAGTACGGCCAGGAGCCCCTAGTAGCGTCCTTGCTCCTAGTAGCGATGCCAGGAGCCCCTAGTAGCTTCTTGTTGCTAATTATAAAGAACTCACTGTTTGGAGACCTCAAAGTCTGGTTCCGACGATTCCATAGAGTGGACCTGTCTTTAGAGTCGACCAAGTCATCTAAAGGGCAGAGAAGTTCGGAGTCGTCTGGGAATGGCAGAAGGACCCTTGATATGGTGACTTGACCATCGCTAGTAGGTTGGAGGCCATCCCTATTAGGTTGGAGGCCATTGCTATTAGGTTGGAGGCCATCGCTAGTAGGTTGGGTTGGAGGATATCTCTACGGGGTTGGAGGCCCTCGCTATTAGGTTGGAGGCCATTGCTATTAGGTTGGAGGCCACCACTGGTAGGTTGGAGGCAATCGCTAGTAGGTTGGAGGCCATTGCTATTGGGTTGGAGGCCATCACAATTACTTCATTATTCAAAGCTATGAAAATGACTAATTGTCTATCCAGTCTATAGAGGACCTGGAAGGCTGGAGGTCATGATCAGCCCCTTGGGGTGTAGATAGGTCTGACAGACCCTGGCATTGACAAACACCGTATGACGACCTCGAGCGCCAACAAAGAGACTGGATCCCCCAAGGCTGCACCCAGCGCTGAGGGTAAGGCCTTGGATAGAGCCCAAGGATGAGATCGCTGTCTAGTCAGAAAGGTGATTGTAACCTACTTAGTGTCCTTCACTGTGAGTGGTATGTGTTTGCAACACCGCATCTCTCCACCAGGGCCTTCGAGAGTTCCCCATTAGCCGTCCCAAACAATCCCAGGGGGGGGGGGGGGGGGCCCCCCCCCCCCCCCCCCCCTGTGTTTCCCCTCCGGGGGCCCCCCCCCCCCCCCCCTCCGTCTGTGTTTCGCCTCCGGGTCACCACCCCCCCTCCCCTGGGTGTCCACCGCTTTGGTGGCGAAGTCCATACCAGTCTTCCCAACGCTCTCCATGCAGCTCAAGAGCGGGATAGCCAGAGTCAAGCTCTGAGCCCTCGGTCTTCACCTCATATCATAGGTCAAATGAACTTTTAAGAGAAGGCCAGCCAAGGCCCTACGGCGCTACCAAGTATGAGGGCCAACCTCCTCAGCATCCTTTGGCCTTGCTGCCCCAGTCTTTCGGGCCTGCAGTGTCGGCCGGTGGAGAAAATGGAAAAGAAAAAGTGGTCTGCGTGCAAAAGAAGAACGCACACACCGATGTAAAGGGTAGATCTTCGTGTTGAAATGCAGACTTTCTGGATCTCTGAGTCTTGATCTTAATACTAGGAGTTTCATCACCACCTCTGGCCGTTGTCTGGCCTCCCTCGCTGAGAGCGGTGTATCCAGCGATGGCAACTTTGGACCATCGCGTTCTTTCGGCCTTGTGAACAGTGTACTGTTTCTTCTGGACCGCGAACACGTATCTCCCACTTGTCCCCTCGAACGCCTCGAACTAACTCTTGAGGCCGGCTTGCAAACAATCCCTGTTACTGTTTGTTTTTTTTGAACAGGTCGAGAGGAAGCAAACCATGCAAAAACTCGGCAAGAACAAGCCTGCTCAACCCGGAAAAACGAAAGCAAACCAACCCATGTGCTTCACCTGAAAAGCAAAAAGCACATCCTAAAGGACTGCTCACATTTCGTACAACTCCTTGATGACAAATGAATCACAAACAACAAAAAGCGAAGAATTGCTTCTGATCTGACATTGCACTCTCTCTCTCTCTCTCTTTCTCTCTCTCTCTCTATCTCTTTCAGTCTCTCTATCTCTTTCAGTCTCTCTTGCTCCCGCCTGTAGGTCAATGGCGCACACAGCGCGGGCATGTGGATAACATCAGCGTGTCCGATTGTACTTAGAGCAGCACAAGTTTGTAATGGTACCAGAGAATCGAAGGATCTTGGAAACAAAAGGCCTTGATGTATCCTGAGTTCCGAGCTTCTACTTCAAAGCGTGAGGGCATCCATTTGCTGAAATCCGAACCAAGTAGCGCTACAGGGTCACCATAGAGATTCTGACCAATCTGTGCACAGCAGTTCTGGAAGTCTGAACCCTGTGTTCCCAAGTCTGCACCGTGGCACAGCCCAGCACACCACGGCTTGGCTGATGAGCGGTCCTAGCGTCGCCTTCGAGGTGCTGCATGAACAGTCCCAGCTCCTTCGTTCCCAGCCGAACACTGTCAAGGCAAAACAATCTCATCTGACACCCAATTGCATGCTGACATTGGTTCGTCAAATCCTTTGAAAACCAAAGTTTCCAAAGCCCATCGAGTCACACATCCCGAATGCGACAAAACCTGGTGCCCTCCTCATCGTCGCTGATTCGAAGTAACACAATTCCGCGATGTCGGTCTTCCACCACCTCGCGTGCAGGCTCAGGACGGTTAGGAGCTGCAACAGGGCAAGGTATGTTTCTGCACAGTGCCTTCACGATGAGGAAGAGACCCCTGCCAATCAACTGTCGACTGGACGAATTATTCAAACCCTTGGAGTCACCCCTTCCACCCCAAAGTTCAATCTTAGCTAGCCTCCCAGTGTTTGGGCGAATGGACAAAACAAATGAAACCCTAGCAACGCAAACTAAGGAAGTCGCATTCAACATTGAACTTTGGGGATAAGGGGTTGTGACAGTTATGTCGTATTCCACCATTGAGCGGAACCGGCGGACCTACAATGAGTATTCCGTACTCTTTCGGACAAAGCAGCCAAACAAAAGGCAATCACGAGCCATTCCACCTGATCCAATTCAGGCAAACGATCCCCTCTCGCATGATGCCCGGAAAGTTGGCCACCTGAGAAATGATCATCAAACTGACAAAGCACCAAAACGAACCGCTGACCCCACCTGGCGCTCCAGCTCACGGCTGAAGCCATCCGCTGACCCAATGAAACAACGTTCCTGGGCATCCAGAGAAGGACAAATCAAGGCGAAAAGAAGGTGAACTGAGAGGTGTGCCAAGGTACCACTCCAAATGTGCCAAGGACCAGGGTAGGTGAAGAAATGTGCATGACTCTCGAGGGCCAAGTCTATTCTCCCTCCAAAGTCTTCTGCATCCTCCCAAGTTGTGTGGAAATCCTACTGCCCAAACTCTAAGGGCACCACCTCAATCAGGGCAGCGAGCTCTGGACCTGTGAAGGAGGCCAACAGTTCAGCTCCTCAGGACGTAGCACAGCTATTTATGTTTGGGGATCTGTGGGGTAGGTCTGCAGTAAGTCTTGAAGAAGCCATGCCAAATGTTCGTGGACTCAAAAGATTCCAGGTTTGCGTTAGTGGTACTGGTAGGTATGCTTGCTTCCATAAAGTTCAAGATGGGCATCAATATGGTCCATGTGGTTGGCCTTCCTTGCTCCTACACCAGAGTAGCTCTGGGCTCCAGACTGGTGGGAGGGTGACAGGTGAATTCCGTTTTGCAAACGTTGCAAATCCTGGAGCACAAATTGTCACAAATGGACAAAAAGAGGTATGCAGATGTGAGTGCTGCAATTATATAATATAAGCCCAACAAACTCCATGCTGTGACATCAACATGAACTCCATTGCAAAAACTTGGATTTCACACATGCAGCACTGTGCACCTCTGTCGCGTGTCTTGGTCATACAAATCAGGATGAGTGGGCTGCGAAACCAGGACTGCTCGCTGCCACATGCGCAGACCTGGGAGGAAGACTTGAAGCACCCCACAAATGAATAGAGTCGCCAAACTGAGGTCTCAACACGAAAGATGAACATACTTTTGGCCACCAGCACAACGACATGGTGAGATCAGATCATCCACCTGGTCAGAGATTGAACTTTGGTAATCGGAGCAAAGTGGAACTGGAAACCAATGAGCCATGCACCATGTAGACCAACCGCAGTTAGGAATCTGTGCAGGCTTCCGTTGTGGTAGTAAGTTTGCAGCACCGCACCAAACCGCTAGGAAAATGTACTGCACGTGGCTGCTTGGACAAAAGCCCAGAAGCATCTCAGCCTCTTCTCCTTCAAAGCAAAAGCGGCAAAGGCGGTCCTCATCCTCCACTTCATCCTGACTCACTCAGTTCAAGGAAAATGCTGCGTGTGACATGTGCGTGAAGAATTACCTAGACAAGGCTTCTTGAAAGCGACTTGCGTTCTAACAGTCTTTCCCGCAGGGTGTAAATTCTATCTTGAACCTCTCAAGTACCACCCATGATCCTTTCCCAAATCCCCACCTGAACTTCATGAAACTTCGTTTGTCCCACGACTGACACTGCTGGCATTTCTTTGGGAAGCAAATACGTTCCTAGTTACATTTGCTACTGGGACTGGCTCAACTCTTGAATCAAATTCCACGAATCCTCGGCGAGAAGACTCAGGGCCTGCGCAAGCGCCGCTGGTTGAGGAGCGGACATAGAGTCCTTCAAAGCCTTGCAAATGAAAAGAAAGCACTCTCACAAAGTCAATCCATCAAGTTGACAAAAAGTCACAGGCAAAGTTTCATTCAATACATGTTCAAGTCATTAACGATGCCTGAAATTGTTTTGTTTGATAAAAATAGATTGTCAGGAAACATGCCTCAGAAGATTGTGGCACCTGCGTCGGTTGCCCAGCTGAACCTGGTCCACCAATGCATTGTCAGGAAAGCATCAAAAGCTGGCACCACTGCCTCGTCCACTCCGCCGGATCGGGCACCTCAAGCTGGGACATCGCCTCAGGATCAAAGATCTTTTTGATGTGGTCGCATCATTTTGGAAGATAAGTTGAGCAAAGAAAAACATGAAGCCCAAACTACTTTTTGCGCAAACACAAACAACAAAATTGGTGGTCTCCGGAAAATCCCTAATTCTGAGCCGTACTCAACGTATTGTAAGGTCGTGGCAGCTTCCACATACGGGTGCCTCTTGTGGTGTCCATGAAACAATCCACTTGGCTGTGGAGTGAGCTCAAATAATTGCGCAATATAAAGTATGATGCAACTACAATCCCAATGTGTTTTTCCGGAACTTGTTTGTAGAGCCTTGGCTTCATCTGTTTCCAGCTGAAGGGTAGGAAGAGACAAAAGGAAATTGCAATTTATTTCGAACCAACAAATTTGTTTTTCGTTTTCTTGTGATACGATTGTCACCTCGATTGCATGCACCACACACAGTCATGATGGTCTTCCAGATGTAGATGGTAGATTCTCCAACTGTCCAAGGTGAATGTCGGATCTTGACAACACCTTGTTAAAAACACAGCTACGCGAAGCCTCACTGAGTGAGTGAGTGACTGACTGATTAAGTGAGTGAGTGAGTGAGTGAGTGAGTGAGAGAGTGAGTGAGAGAGAGAGAGTGAGTGAGAGAGTGAGTGAGTGAGAGAGTGAGTGAGAGGGTGAGTGAGAGTGTGAGTGAGAGAGTGAGTGAGAGTGTGAGTGAGAGTGAGTGAGACAGCATACGGGCGTCTCCAAGTAGTCCGCACCAATCTACAGTAGTGCAACCGAGACAACTGACTACACTCTCCAAATGCCCTGTGTGCTATGTAACGAAGCTTGTCCGGTAAAGCAATGCTACATAGGGCAACGCAACCTATAAATGTTTCCGCTTGAATTTCCTGCAGGGAGGGCGGCAAGCTCACACTGCTCAATTTTGTGCAGTGTGAGAAGGTATGCATGTGGAGGGTGCCAACTATCGTGTTGGAGATGTCAACGGTGACCAATTGCTTGCAATTCTCATAAGCTCTATGCCCTATGTATACGGCATCTACCCCCAGGGTAACGCTCTGGATGCCCGACGAGTGAAAGCATCCCTGCGGGATCCCTGCAGGCGGGGACGGCATGGTAAGGGCATCCGGTTCCGCTCTGGTGCAAGGCAGGGACAGCTGCTCAAGTTTAGCGCAGCTTTCAAAAGCATAAGGCCTAATCACCGCTCCTTTGGCTAATTCACTGGTACCCTCTTTAATTATGCCCACTTTTTCCTGAGCACAACATTCGGAAAAAAAACGAACGCCGAAGGCAACGCAGCCAGGCATTTCGACCATGATCAGGGCAAAACACCTTTTTGCACGAGTTCGGACGCCATGTGTGCGGTGTGCACAGGTCATCAAAAGAAGGATGGAGACTCTGCATGTTTGTGAGGGAAAAACCAGAAACCCAACCCAAAAACAAACACAACAAAAACAACCACAAAACCCCCCAAACCAAAACACAACACGCCACCCCAAAACAAACTAGCAGAGTTTCCCACTGTACTCATCGGTGAAACAGGTGCAACATAAAAGAGTGTTCGACTGTCTACTCGGGCCTTGAATTCACGAAGTTTGTCAGTGATCTGCCGTTCTCACTTTTGCTGCAGAAGGCATTGAGGTGCGACAAGCCATGCAGGCCACTCCAAGTATGCTCAAGGAGTGCCAAAGGACAAAACTGCACCTGCAAGGTTTGAGTTGTAAGCACACTGGCCAGTTTCGGGTGGTTGACTGTATATACTTGTGCTTACAGACTGTAAGTGTCCTGGTCACTTTTAGTTGCAATTCTGTTCAGGCCTTGGAAAAAAGCCTTCATCAGGGTACAACTATTCCACACAGTTGCACTAACTGAAGCGACTGTGGCCGGCAGTTGACAATCTCAGTGTAGGACATTGTATGCAAACACACACGAAGGTGCCCTGCGAACCTCCCTCAGCAGAGGGAGGAGACGCACACCGGTTCAGCAAGCTCCTGAGAACTAGTGGCAGCAGGAGCGTGGAAGGCGTGCGAAATGCAAAAAGGGGATGGATAGAACTGTCATTCATGGGTCGCTATCCGTTGTCATGCATGGCCCTTGTGAGACATAGTGAAACGTTGAAAAACCTAGCATGGTACTTGGTGTCCACTTTGTACAAGATTGG